TGTATTAATAGGGAGCAGTGATAGAGTACGGTAGGATAGAGTAGAGTAGAGTAGGGTAGGGATGTGTAGATCAGATGACAGTCGAGTGGAGACGAGTAGATGAGTAGAGTACAGCAGAAATAAGTAGAGATAGGCAGATCTGAGTATAGCCCCTGCCCCCTTGCAGTGGTTAAGCATGAATTTCAGTTTTCTTCTCCTCTCCGAGTGCTCTCGGTTCTGGGCCCCGACATTCCTGCCTCTGCTTTTCCACAAGATGCCTCTGCAGTTCTGCTCCGAGAGCGGGTGTCCGTCCAGCTGAGTCGGAATGTGATCGGCGGTTCGGAATGGTTTCTCGGCATGGCGTCTTCGGTTCGGCGCCTACCATACCCCAGCCCGCCTGATACTCAATTAGGGTGTAATCAGCAACGTGGCAGCACATCAATTTCTCCCACATGGCTCCCTGTACTGCGCACCACACCGCACCTGGCAGCATTTAAATCCATAGTAGTTTCCGAGGATCCTGACAAAGCTGAGGAGGTAACTTCGAGGCCGCTCAAATGAGGCCATACTGCACGTGTGTGTGTGTGTGTTTACGTGTGTGTACGTGTGTGTACTTGGTGTGTATGTATGGCTGTATGCATGTATGTACGTTTTAGTATGTTTGTATGTATGCATGTATGCATGTCTGTCTGTATGTATATATATATATATATATATATATTTATATATATATATGTCTGCATGTATGTATATATGTACGTATGCATGCATGTATGTATGCATGCATGCATGCATGCATGCATGCAGGTATGCGTGTATGCACGTACGTGCGTACGTTCGTACGTATGCATGTATGTATGTATGAATGTATGTATGCATGTATGTATGCATGTATGTATGTATGTATGTATGCATGCATGTATGCATGTATGTATGTATGTATGTATGCATGTGTATGCATATGTATATACGTATGTATGCATGCATGTATGCATGCATGTATGCAGGTATATCTCTCTATATATGTCTGTCTGTCTGTCTGTCGGTCTGTCTGTCTGTCCGTCTGTCTGTCTGTATGCATGCATTTATGTATGTATGTACGTACGTATGTATGTATGCATGTATGTATGTATGTATGTATGTATGTATGCATGTATGCACGTATGTACGTATGTATGTACATCTGTCTGTCTGTCTGCCTGTCTGTCTGTCTGTTTGTGTGTCTATCTGTCTATCTGTCTACCTGTATGGGTATATGTATGTCTATCTGTATGGATGTCTGCCTGTCTGTCTGTATGTATGTATTTATGTATGTATACATACAGATCGGCGTGTACATATGGTGTCGGAGGATCGCGACGCATCGCCCATGCATCGGCGATGTGGCGCGATCAAGAGCCATATTTTCTAGACGCCGTCGCCGTCGCAGCAATGCACCGTCGATGTGGTGCGATCCCCCGCTTCCCTCCGCACTGCAGTCTTTTGTGGGCGCCCTCTCCAATGCTTTCGTAGTAGGCGCCGGGGGCGAAGCCACCCCAGCCGACAAAACCCTGGATCTCGACCTCCGTTGCGGACAAAACCGCCGAGCGCCCAGGGCGCTCCAACCCCCTAGCGCGTCGCCACGTCAACCGACAACCTCACAGGGCTCGTTTCGATTCCTCTGATTCGAGTCGATTCGATCTGATTCCGACTCCGATCGGATTCGGCTAGGATTCGGCTTGGCGTTCCGATTCGGACTCCGATACTCAATGGCGGCCTACTACCTGCCGATTCCCGCTGATTCGACTTCTCCCGACTCGGCTGCCAGTTTCTACCGATTCGATTTATTTCGATCGCCGATCCTCGGTGTCGTTTAACCGATCCCCATCCCCATCCCCATCCCCCTCGAGACCCCCACCAAATTACCACCCCAGTTGGGGGTACACCCCTCGACACCCGAAGGGAATGGCCGGTATCCCCATATAGGGGGTAAATCGGCCAGTGGGGCCCAGGCCACACCGCTGGGGATGGGGATCGGATAAACGATACTCAGATCCGATTTGTCGATTCTGGGCTCTCCTGCCTCGCCGCTCCCCGGACCCAGGCTCGGCCTGGCTGGGAGGCGCAGAGCCCTGGGGGCCTGCGCGCATATCCTGGGGTCGGCGCTGGTCGGCGGCGAGCCCAGGGGAGAAGTCGGAGGGGAGGGGGCGGGCCTTCGTGGAGTGCTCGGAAGGCCTCCGGCCGTGGAGAAGTTTTTGAAGCCTTCTCCGACGACAGGGACGACTTCTCAGAAGGCCCGAGGGCTCCTGAGGAACCCCGCCGCCTTCCAAGAAGGCGTGCCCCTTCTCGCTTCCTCCCGGCTCGCCGTCGCCAGGGGCGTGGGTCCATCGCCGAACCCAGAAGACCGCGCTGACCTCCGAGAGTTCTGCCTATGCCGATCTTGCTCCTCCAGATCGGTGAGGTGGTCACTTGTCGACCCCAGAACTGGTGCAGTGACGGCCACCCCCTCCCCCCTCCGTGTCTGTGTCTGTTCGTCGTGTTTTTCCTCCCCGCCTTTGCCGCCGCCGCCGCCTCCTCCTCCGCCGCTTCCTCCTCTTCTTCCTCCTCCTTGGCTCTTGCACAGGCAGCGTCGCGGCTGCGAACAGCGCGGAGTCGCCAACAGCAGACGGGTTTCAAGCGTACGCTCTGGCCGTGCCGCGGTTGTACTGCTTCGCAGTGGGATCCTGAACTGTCTAACGGTGCAGGAGTGGTCCGCCATACACTGGTTGCGCTCTATCGTGTGCCAGGTGCGCCGACTACATACTCCTGTTCCTCCCCTGCTCTGACGGGCGGCCTTCGGCCGCGTTGCAAGAGGCCGCCAGCCGCGCTATGCCTCCTCTCGGCGCGGCGCTGTCCCCTCCCCCCCTCGCCGCCCCCCCCCCAGCCCCAGCCCCAGCCGCTTCCCTCTCCCTCGCCGCCTCCCCTCTCCGCCTCCTGTCCGCTGGATGACCCGGCCTGCGGGCGGCCGAAGCGCAGCTGGCGGGCCCGGCGCTTCGCGGGGGGCCACCCCCGAGTGCACTCCTCCAGCAGGATCAACATTCGGAATGTGAAGCTCTCTCTGCAGGCTCTAGGACATCTGGTGGCCTTAACGGATCGGGTTGTGTCGACATCTGATCATTGGATGTGGTGATGTCGACACTCCGTCGTCGGATGCGTCGACTGTGCCCTCGTGCCCTGGAGCAGCACGGGATTGGGACTAGAGTGCATTCCTTACGAGGAAATCCCTGGAGGCCTCGCGCGGCGCGCAATAGTTGTACTATGTAGTCCACACGTCTGGCCGTCAGACATGGGACGGTGTTCGCGCGGCGCTGTTCCGGCGCAAGTCCGACGCAGATCCGTCGTGACCCCGACTTGAATCCGAGGTGAATTCGGCGTGGCTCCGACGTGAACTGGGTCCGAAGTTCCCGCGCGGGGCCTCGAGGACTTTCCTCGCACCGTTCCCTCTCCCCGGCCCCCCTCCGCGGGGCCCGCCCTGGCAGAGGCTCCCCCCCCCCCCCCTTTTGGGCGAGGCGGGCGGCCGGCCTCTCTCGTGGGGAGGCCCCCTTGCTCCCCGCCGCCCATCCTCCTCTCCTGGCGAAGGGTTTCCCTTAGATGGCGAAGTGTTTCCTTTTCTCTTCCGGAGGAGACCAATGGGCACACGCAGTATTTTTTGGCGCTCCGCGCGGACTTCTTGGATCCGCGCTGCGCTCCCCCGGCGGCGCCAGCTGCGCCGCTCCTGGCGCGCTCCGCGTGCCAGGGAGGGGGTCCAGCGCAGCTCCAAGCCATCCGTGCGGAGCGCCAAACGTTTATCTCAATGCCGTTTTTTCTTCTTCCATTCTTGGCCACGGAGATTTCGGACATTTGAGCGCGCTTGTCGCTGCAGAGCGTTTGCCTGCTGGGTTGTGACGTGGCCCTTCCGATTGTAGAGCGCCCTTCTGGGAAATTCCGTGCTGGTTGCAAAGTGCCCCTTCTCGGTTGTAAAGTGCCGTTCAGGCTGTAAAGTGACCCGCACGCTCTTCCTCCTTTCTTCCACAACATGTAACGGAAGAGATGGGCACAAACATCTACACGATGAGGAATCCTTGTTTGGAAGCATAAAGGTAGCTGCAGAAGCATGATGTCTCGGTCGTCCGCGCGGACCTCCAAGAAATTACGTGTGTGCAGTACTTTGCCTTCTAGTGATCCAGTGCTGAGGAGGCAAAGTATCCAGGAACTCCGCCTTTGAGGCGCGCCCTCCTCCTCCTCCTCCTCCTCCTCCTCCGCCTCCTCCTTCTCCTTCTCCTCCTCCTCATTCCCCACCCCCGACGGTTGTAGTGTGGCGGATTTCTCCGAATACTGCTCTCGATGCGAGCATACACTCTCGGAGGCCCGCGCGGGTTTCTTGGATCTGCGCTGTGTCCCCTTCGCTGGGGCGCGGAGCCTTCCAGGGGCGGCGCCAGGGGCACAATCACGGGAGCTCCGCACTGATCATTCCTACGGAGAGGTCAATGCGGATTTTTCTTCATGTGGGTCGATTGCAGGAGCTCTCGTCCGACGGTTTGGGTCCTCCTCTCGCCCCCTCGTCCCTCCTCCTTTTTGGCTTGATTTGCGGTTCCAGCCTCCGAAGGATTTGCAGGACAACCATTCGACGATTTGAGGGTGGAGGGAAGCGACAGTGACGATGGATGAGGGGGAGAAAGGGAGGGAGGGTCGGGGAGGGGATTGGGGCGGGAAAATCGAGAAGGATGAGAGGATGAGGGATGAGGGTGGAACTGGATGGACGGTTTTGCGAGGGGACGGGGACGGGGGCTGAGGGAGGGAAGCGGAAAGGAAGGGGAGAGGGATGATGGATGATGAGGCGACGGACGTTGGGTGGGGGAAGGGATTGGTGGCGGGGAGGGAATGGGGGATGAGGAGGGGAAAGGGAGAGGGATGAGGGATGATGGAGGGGGTGAAGGAGATGATAGGAGGGGTGTGTGATGAGGGGATGGGATGAGGGATGAGGAGCTGGGATGAGGGATGAGGAAGAGCTGGAAGGGGATTGCCAGGTTCCACCTGTCGATGATGAACCCCTTTGGCCTCAGGCTGATCGACAGCGCTCCGTCCACCTACTGCCACGATCTGGTGTCGCCGATGGTCCAGGAACCTTTGCCTCCTCCTCTGTTCTCCTCCTCCTCCTCCTCCTCCTCTTACTTCTCCTCTCCCTCCTGCCCCCCTTGTTGGTTCTGCTCTTCTCTGCGCAAGCGTCCGGATGCCAGACCCGTCGTGCCCAGACGCCACGGTGCGCCTGCTCGTCGGGGGGCCCTTTGCCACCCTCGCATCCTCCTGCCGCCGCGATCTCGTGCCGCCGACTGTCCAGTAAATTCGGCCTCCTTCATCCTCTGCCTCGTCTTTCTGTTTGTTTGCTTGTTTGCTTATTTGTTTTTTGCTTGTTTGTTTGTTTGTTTGCTTGCGTGTTTGTTTGTTTTGCTTGCTTGTTTGCTTGCCGAAATCTTGTTTGCTTGTTTGCTTGCTTGTTTGCTTGTTTGCTTGCTTCTGTTTTGTTTTGCTTGGGCTATTTTCTTGTCTGTTTCTGTGCTTGTTTGCTTGTTGGAATTTCTCATCTGGTGCCCTGCGCGGCTTGCCGGCTCTGCGGACGCGCTTGCGACCGCCAGCGCTGCCGACGAGCAGAGTCTGAATCTCTCGTGTGCCGGAAACCCGGCCAGGGCCCCCGGGGCCGCAGACCACCGAGGGCGCCGGGAGTAAGCCAAGTGGCGCTTCCCGCCCCCGTGGCTTCCCTGGAGCGCCCCTGAGTTTACTCCAGGGGCCCCTGGGGCTCTGGAGAACCTCAACGAGGGTCACCAGACAGCCCAGGAAGGTCCCGAGAGGGCCCGAGCCCGTCCAAGATGATCCCCGAGACGGCCCAAGAGCACTCCATGACGCCAGAGATCGCTTCAAGATGGCCCGAGAGGAGGTGGTGGAGGAGGAGGAGGAGGAGGAGGAGGAGGAGGGAATGACTCCAATGCAGTCTTTGGGGGTCGTTTGGAGATCGCGCGTCTTCCCCCTCTTCCCTCCTTTCCTCCTTCCCTCCTTCCCTCCCTCCTCGTCCTCCTCCTTCCTCCCTGCCCCCTCCTCCATTCTCTTCCTCCTCTTCGATCCTTCCTCCTCCCTCCTCCCTTCTCCCTCCTCTTCCGCCCTCCTCCCTCCTTCCTCGCTCCTCCCTTCTCCCTCCTTCCGCCTTCCCTCCTCCCTCCTCCCTCCTCCCTCCCGCCTTCACGCCCTCCCGCCCTCCTTCCTCCTCCTCAACGTCCTACTCCTCTCCCTCCTCGTCCTTCTCCTCCTCTTCCTCCTCTTTCTTTATTAGATTCCTTATAGATGACTCCTCCCTGTCCCACCATCCCGAGACCGGTCGAAAGCGCGGGCTGGGCGTTTCGCCGGGGACTTCACAGCATATGATCATGAATGTTGCAGTTTGACAGATGGAGAGCGGCCCGCTTTCAAGCTGTTGCTCTCGCTTTAGCGCCGCACACAGTCGCTTGAAAAGTTTGCTTCGGGGTCGGCTACCGCTGCAAACGCTTCTTCTACAGGCTCATCTTCTTGTCCGTCAACCGGTGAGGCGCTCCTTGGGCAGCCTGTTGTTTTGTATAGCACGGAATAGTTGATATTGTCTAGCTAGTCGCACATATAGTGTGGTCGTGCGTGTCCCGTCCGTTTTTCTCTTCTCTCCTCTCCCTCTCTCTTCTCGTCCTCTTTCTCTTCTGCCGTTACTATTGGTCACCTTGAGCATCCCCTTTTCCAATTGATGGATTCTGCGGCATGCCAGCAACACTTGTCGCACAGGCTTTCGCTCGAGAGCAAAAGAAACGCAGCTCGAAATCGGCGGGCGTATACGTTCTAGGGTAATTCACAGCCGCCGTCGCGGTTTGACGCTGAGTGTTGGCTCTGTTTGTTCAGTCTTCCTCCCTCCCTTCCTTCTCCTCCTCTGCTCCTTCGGAGTCGAAGCTGTGTGCGGCTGGTTGCGGGCCTAAGTGCCGCCATGTGTTCGCTGAGTGACATCCGAGCAGTCTTCCCACACGCCCTGCGGGGTGATCTCTTCCCTCTCCTTCGATGCTTTGCGCTGGAAGGAAAATGCATTCGTTGTAAAAGTTTGTGAGAGCTTCGCGCATGGGGGGCGCCCCGTTTTAAACATGTGGCTCTCGCCTTAGCGCCGCGCACACGTGTTTCAAACACGTGCAAGTGGACGGAGGCCCGGACGGGGACCAGGTTTCAAAACGTGGCTCTCGTTTTAGTGCCGCGCATATTCGTCTTCAGAGTTTGTAACAGGTTGAAGGGCTTTCATGGTTATTGCCACATAATGGTGTTTGGGCGCGATGTCGGGATGTCAGGGCACAACGGTCACGTTGATTCGCGGTGCTGAAACCTCAGGAATAGTGTTCTGGCACGGTTCATGATCGTCAATACGCAAGAGTCACGGTGATTCGCGGCGTCGAAATCCCAGGAATGGTGTTCATGGAACGATTCAGAATCGTTTTTACGGGAGAGTAACTGTTTAGGAGTTGTGTTCTCGCACGATGCCGGATTTTCAGACCGTTGACTTTCCAAGGAGACATTTGTGTCAGTGAAAAAGATTCCGTGTAGGAGTTTATGAGGAGGGAACTTGGAGGGAGGGTTTATTGCAATATCGTGTTGATGTGTCTTGGGTTTGCACTGATCGTCCCTCCTCCTCCTTCTCCCTCCTCCTCTTCTCCCTCCTCCTCCTCTTCCTCCTCCTCCTCCTCCCATTCTCCTCATCTTCCTCCTCCTCCTCCTCCTCCTCTTCCTCCTCCCCCCTCCTCCTCCTTCTCCTCCTCACTGCTCCCTGTTTTTTGATCCCTGCTGCTGCAGCTGCTGCTTCTGCTGCTTTTGCTGCTGCTGCTCCTCCGCCTCCTCTTCCGCCTCTTCAACCTCCTCCTCCGCCTCCTCCGCCTCCTCCTCCTCATCATCATCATCCTCCTCTTCCTCACTTGGTGGTTGGGAGGGTACCCGACTGCCCCGGGATGGGCGCGATAACGTTGGGCGGCGAGGGAGGGCCGCCTCCCCCCCCGTGCCAGCTGCTGCGCGCCGCGTCCGCAGAGAGCCAACACCACGGCGACAAGCTCCGCTCCGTCGGCGAGCGCGCCGAATCGGACGCCTCCCAGCCTCCCATCAGGGGCATTGTTGAGGATTGGGTAGGCCGGGAGGGGATGCATCGGTTCTCGGCGATTCGTCGGTTCTCGGCGTTTTCGTCGGGCCTGTGCGGTTCTCCAGCCTCGTGGTGCTCTCCAACGGCTCCGCCTCGCCGAGGGCGTCCCCCGGGTCTCCGGGGTGACTGGATCGCCCCGCCCGGCCGCTGGAGAGCCGAGGTATTACCCGCAAGGGAGGAGCAATTTCAATGCCACTTGTGATTACCCAACGACCCCCCCTGCCATGGCTGATGAATGGATTCCGCGGGGTGCGAAAGCAATTTTTTCCACGCATGCAAGAGGGTCGTCGCGGGCGCCGCCGAGGGGATCGTGCACCCCTGTGCACGGCAGCCTCACAACGATTCCTTTTCGTCTGCGAGTTGTAGTAGGGGTCGTGTACAGCCGAGGCGAAGTCCCCCCCCATTCTCTGGCTGATTGCTGACATGCCACTCCTCGAATATCAGCTTCAAAACTCGCATAATGTTTTTTTTCGGTTTTATATGGAGTTGGTTCCTCCACGTCTGATAGTAATATTGCAGCTAAAGACTTGATAATTTCACAGACAGACGCGAAATAACCCACTGTACGTGAGAAAAATACTGGTTCTCAAAACTGGGAGCCCGCAGTAAACCGTTAACTAGGTTACCGCCGGGACCCTCGTAGAGCACTTCACACGCGGGAGAGTGCTCATAATACGAGGAGAAAGCTTTTGTAAATGTCAGCTTAAAAACTCGAATAATGTTTTTTTTCGGTTTTCAACCGAAGACGGTTCCCTCACGTCTTTTGAAAGTAATGCTGCAGCTACGAACCTGAGAATTTGACAGGCAGACGCGGCATAGCCCACTACACGTTAGGAAAATACTGGTTCTGAAAACGAATGGTCAAATCTCTCAGAATCTTGCAAAAACCGACCCCACGTCATCACATTGTCCGTCCGGGCCGGATTGGCCAGCTAGCAGTCTCCGTCGTCGCCGTCGCCGTCGCCGTCGCTGTCGCCGTCGTCGTCGTCGTCGTCGTCGTCGTTGTCGTCGTCGTCTATCACATCACCCCACACCCACCGACACCCCCGGTGCTCCGCGCCCGGCGCCCAGCTCCACCCCCCCGCCGCCCCGCCCCTTGCCCGCCGCTGCCCCGCGTCCGCTGAAGCCACCGCCCCGTGAGCCGTGCCACTTTCTTGCCCTTTCGGCGCGAGCGCGCCCACTAGACTTCCCCGACAGCATGGCTAGCCGCCTGCCCGCTGACGACCGCAGAGGGTGTGTGTGTGTGTTTTCTGATGCGGGTTCTTCCCCATCCTTACCTTCTGTCTTTCACCGAGGCCCCCTGTGCGCCCCGTTGAATGCTGCTCGTCTTCGTCCATCGCTTCTTTCACGCTAGGGGGCACCTTACCCGCCCCCTCGGAGTCCTGCGTCGCGCTCACCCCCCGTAGTGCCTCCGGCACCTGGCCCCCGTCGCCCACAGCGTTCCAGATCGAGGGCTGCCAAGTGCTGGGCCCCTAGTCTGGCACAGACGGCAATCCTGCGGCGGCCCCGCAGGAACGTCCGATGTCCCGCCCCCATGCAAGGCTCACCCCTCGCGTCATTGAGGCCAGCACCTTGGACGCGGGCGCGGTCGCCGCCGCTACGGCACCCCCGTGCCCCCGGCCCCCCAGGTTTTCTCCTTCACGGATTTCGCTGCTAATCACTCCCATCAAGCAGCCCAACCACCAGGATTTGGTGTTGGCAACCACCGCCTTCATCCAGTTGGGGTTCCGGCAGGCCGCGCTCTGGCGAGCGGCCCTCCACAAGTGCAAATTCAACTCCGCCGACCCCAGCGCTCACTCCTCCACCCGCCTTCAATCTTTCTTTGAACGCTGACGGCTACAAGGCGAACCAAGCAACTCACATACCCGCCTCTGGGCTCCCCGAGGGCTACCTCGCTGAAGCTGCCAGGCCCCCCCGTCACCTTGTCAGACGTGTCGCGAGATCTGGTCCACCCTGGGACAGCCCTGTCAGTGGAAGGATTTTCTCGGCCACGCCTTCAAGCGGGAGAAGCCCATCTTGCAGATCGACCCCAAGCTTGTCGAGACCCCTCGTGTGGAAGCGTTCATCGAGGGCCTCGAGCGGGGCAAGTTGAGTGTTGGCGCTTGGCGCTCACTGTCGCACGACGACAAGCGTGCACGCGCGGCAGAACTTATGCAGGGCAGGCGGCTCTCCAAGTCCCGTATGTGGGGGGCAACGAGTCCCCCCATACGCCTCGTACCTCCCGCGTCCTGGCCGCACTCTTCTGCCCCCACTGGTGCTGGGTCCCCTTCCGCCTCGCCCGCCACCCGCGGCAGACAGGCGACGCTAACTATCTCCGGCCCTGCCTGCTTCCCCACGCTTGGGGGGAACGCTGGCGCGGTTCAACGCTCCGCCTCCCTGCGCGGACGTCCCCCTGCTTCCGCTCTGGACGACGCCGTCCAGGGGCCAGGGCGGGTGCGCAGCCGGCCCTGCACTCCCCTCGGCGCCCCTCCTTGGCTAGAGCGTGCCACCTGCTGGCCACAGCTCCTCTGCGATGGGCAGCGCGGCGCGGAGCCTCCCGTGGGCGGAACCTCCAGTTCGCCGTTGCCTCCAGCGCTTTTGTGGACATGCCGGCATCGCAGCCCTTCAGCTGCAACCTTTGCGGGGTCCCCGCCGTCGCTGGGGGCTTTTGGCCTCCTTGTCCTTGTGCCGTGCCCTTCTACCAGCTTCTGCTGGCCATGGCGCTTGCTGCAGTACTCTCCCGCCCTTGCAGGCCTCATCGGTCTCGTCACCTGCTCTCGCTCCGCTGTCCCGCGTCCCTCTCCTGTCGCAGCCTCTCGGGCCGTTGCGTCGTTCCGCAGCCTCGTCTCGTCCGCCCCCCCCTCGTCAGGGCTCCCTGTTTTCCTTGTTCGGATGTCCTTCGGGTAGCTCCCTCGTGGTCCTCCTTCCTTGCCTCTGATGTTCCCAGCGGGCCGTCGCTGGAGGCCTCCTGTGGCTCGCCCCTGTCCTCTCGGGCAGAGCCTCCGCAGGAGTTGCGCGGGCGTCAAGAAATCGGCAAACGGGCTGGGCAACACGTCGCTGTGCGTTGCGTTTCGCTTCACTTGCCTGTGCTCCGGGCTGGTTCCTTCCACCACGGCCAGTCTGCAGCTGGCGGGCACTCGTGTGTGCTCGCGCTTAGCTCCAGTCTCCGTCCGGACTGTGCCGCATCTGGCTCCTCCTCCCCCTGGCCCCCTTGCTTCGTCTTGGAGGCCCCGAGTCCAAATTCGTGCAGCAGATGGCCGCCAGCCCCCTGTGCCCCTGGCCCCTCATCGCGGAGGGCGCCCCGCGGTCCTTTCTTTTTGACTGCCGCCGTTTCCAGCGTGCCATTCGGCCTGTTGGCGTCGCGGCCCTGTAGCCTGCGACCTTTGCGGTGCGTCCGCCACCACTTTATGGCCTCTGGCCGTTGCTCCCTCCTCGGTGCCCTTCTTCTGACCCCCCTCGGCCCTGGCACTTTCTCGTCTCCGGCATGCGTCCCCCTGCCCTTCCGGTCGCTAGGTCGGTCCTCGTCCTCGTCGGCGTCTTCCCCTCGCCCCCCCGCCTTCAAATCCTTGGTGGCTGTTGGCACACCCACCGTGCTGGTCCGTCCATCGCTGATCTCCACGTCATCCATGCCCAGATGACCTATGGCGGCTGCTGCTGCGAGATGCGATACATTCGACGGTCTCTGAGAGCTCGGGCGTCTCTTGCCGCGCGCGCCTGATCGCTGTTCCACACTTTCTCCGCCCTGTCGGTGCGCACTGGGCGCGACGCCAATATATATATATATATATGTATGTATGTATGTATGTATGTATGTATGTATGTATACATATATGTATGTGTGTGTGCGTTCGTGTGTGGGTGTGGAGCTTTAAGTGGCCTCTTCTTCCCCCCCTTCGCGGCCACCTTGCCTCCCCGTTTTCCCTTCTTGCACGCTGGCCAATTCGCTTTTCGGCGCCCCCGTCTAGCTCTTTCGCTGGTGCAGCCAACTCTGTCTTCTCGCCGCCGACGGAAACAGTGTGTGTGTGTGTGTGTGTGTGTGTGTGCGTGCGTGAGTGTGTGTGTGTGTGTGTGTATTTGTGTGTGCGCTTGTGTGTGTGTGTGGAGCTTTAAGCGCCTCTCGCCTCCCCCTCCGGCCTCCGTCCTCTCTCCTTCATCGTCGTTGTCGTGGAATCCTCCGCCCCCTTCTGGTCTCCTGCTCTTGCTCTCATTATCGTTTTCTTGTTGTTGTTGTTGTTGTTGTTGTTGTTGTTGTTGTTGTTGTTGTTGTTGTTGTTGTTGTTGTTGTTGTTGTTGTTGTTGTGCTTGTTGTTGTTGTTGTTGTTGTTGTTGCTGCTGCTGCTGCTGCTGCTGCTGCTGCTGTTGTTGTTGTTGTTGTTGTTGTTGTTGTTGTTGAACTCTCATTTCTGAAAAATAATTGTTGTTGATCCCCCCCACCGGTGCACACTGTTCTTTCTTAGTCAAAGTGCGCCCCTCGACGCTCGTACCTTGTTTTTTGACAGGGAAAGTCTTGATCCTCAAACTGCGTTGTTGCCCCCCCGGATTACAACAACAACGGCTCCCGCTTGAGACTTCCTCACAATTTACTCATGACCCCCGCTCCCGCCTGAGACTTCCTCACAATTTACTCAGGATCGGCGCTCCCGCTTGAGACGTCCTCGCAATTTACTCAGGACCCCCGCTCCCGCCTGAGACTTCCGCACAATTTACTCAAGGAACGGCGCTCCCGCTTGGGACCTTCCGCGCAACTGAGCTACGTTGAACTCTCATAACGGCGCTCCCGCCTGGGACCTCCTTCAAACTATCACTCCTGAAGAATAATTATTGTTCTCATACGCACCTCTCCGAAGGAATCAAGCTCACAGGCGATTAATGCGTACGCGCGGCCGCGCGGCCCCGCGCGGCCGCGTCCGGGATTTTTCCAGCCGTTTCGCTTG